AAAAAAAAACTGGAGCACACAGGCAGCATTACGCCATTCTTCCTTCTTGGAAAAATCCCTCAGCCTTATACAAGCCTCCTTCAAGCCCTCAGTCAGTTGTGCAGGAGAAAGGGGGCGGTCGGCTTTCTCCTTTCAAGAACGAGTTATTTTCAGCTGCTGACTGGAGACGGTGCACGTCTGGATACGAGAGCATTTCCACTATGGGATTGGATACAAACACACACCCGGCAGACTTAAAGAGTCTCAGACTGAGGAGAAAGCCTTTCCTTCTGCTGCTACTGCTGCTGCCGCTGCTTTTGAGGGTCCACTCCTTTCATGGTTTTTCCTGCCAAACCAGAGGCACCTTCGCTCCTGCCGCCGTTCTCTTTGGTGTCATTCAGCGGCTGGCCAGAGGATGAGACTCCCCAAACTCCTCACTTTCTTGCTTTGGCACCTGGCTTGGCTGGACCTGGAATTCATCTGCACTGTGTTGGGTGCCCCTGACTTGGGCCAGAGACCCCAGGGGGCCAGGCCAGGATTGGCCAAAGCAGAAGCCAAGGAGAGGCCCCCTCTGGCCCGGAGCATCTTTAGGCCAGGGGGTCACAGCTATGGTGGGGGGGCCACCAATGCCAGGGCAAAGGGGGGCACCGGGCAGACAGCAGGCCTGACACAGCCCAAGAAGGATGAACCCAAAAAGCTGCCCCCCAGATCGGGTGGCCCTGAACCCAAGCCAGGACACCCTTCCCAGACAAGGCAGGCTGCAACGCGGACTGTGACCCCAAAAGGACAGCTTCCTGGGGGTAAGTCACCCCCAAAGGCAGGATCTGTCCCCAGCCCCTTCCTGCTGAAGAAGGCCAGGGAGACTGGGCCCCCTCAAGAGCCCAAGGAGCCGTTCCGCCCGCCCCCCATCACACCCCACGAGTACATGCTCTCGCTGTACAGGACGCTGTCCGATGCTGACAGAAAGGGAGGCAACAGCAGCGTGAAGTTGGAGGCTGGCCTGGCCAACACCATCACCAGCTTTATTGACAAAGGGCAAGGTGAGGGGGTGGGGGGGCAGGGGCACGGCTGAGAGGGAGGGGCATCTGCATGCATGGAGGGGCCTTTCAGAGCCCTGACACTGCACCCGTGGGAGATAGCACATGCATCGGCCTGGGGTAGTATCTGGGACTGACCCCCCACGTACTGGGTCTGAGGCTGCTGGCAAGTCAGAGCCAATCCCTGCAAGGTGCAGAGGGGGTTACTGAAGCCCAGAGAGGGGACAAGAACTGCCAGTTGGTGGCAGAGTTGGGGACCACACTCTAAGACTCTTACCAGGCCATGCTCTGTTCCTATGTGGGCTAGCCAGACTTTCCAAGCTCCAGAGGTTTGTAGGTTTTCTCAGATGGCAGAGAGAGAGATTAATCTCTAGAAACCCGTGGTTTGGCAAATCTGCCTTCAAGCTAGGGGGCAGAGGAGGCAGGATAGGTGAAGACAGCAAATGAGGCATCTGGGAGTCATGGAACGACATTTAAATGTATGATGTGGGGGGTGCAACAGACTTAGGGTCTTAACTCACAATGTGACCTTGAGGGAGTCCCTTTTCTCTTTGGTGTCTCAGTTTCCCCATCTGCACAATTATATGGGTATTGGACTGGGTGATTTCTTCCTTTCTTTCTTTTTTTTTTTTTTTTTTTTTTTAAGTTTATTTATAGGGGGTGGGGGGCAGAGAGAAAAGGTGAGAGAGAGAATCCCAAGCAGGCTCTGCACTGCTAGTGCAGAGCCTGATGCGGGGCTCGAACTCACAAACCGTGAGATCATGACCCTCTGAGCTGAAACTGAGAGTTGGATGCTTAACCGTCTGAGCCACTCAGGCACCCCAAGACTGGGTGATTTCTGAGAGCCATTCAAATATGAACACTTTGTGTCCTGTCCTAAACACATCATTTTTATCATCAGCCCAGGAGGGTATCTGTTCCCTTCACTTCTTATGCTCGGTTAGCATTACTGTTTTGGCGTCTCCCTCTCCACTTGCTGTGTGATCTCAGCAAGTCCCTTCCCCTCTCAGGGCCTCAGTTTCTCCGTAAGTGTGAAAAGAGAGATGGATTACTTATTGCCATGGTTGCTTGCAGTTCATATGCTCTGGTTCTGTGAGTCTTAAGACTTTGCTGGCAGGGTGGGGGAGGGGTCAGATATTGGGAGAGGCTCCTCATTAGAGCCAGCCGGCCAGGCCGGTGGGGGAATGACAGGGTGGGAGGAAGCAGGAGGCAGCAGGTCTGGCTGGGGTGGGGGAGGTGGCCTGGCCGCCTGCCCAGCCGGGGAAAGCTGTGACCCCTTGGGGGCTCATAAAATAAGTCCTTGTGCCCCCCAGCTCTAAGGGAACTTGCAGAGGGGGAGATGGGGAGTTTAAAGGCCTAATTAGTCACCTTCTAGAGCAATGTATGAATGCTTCCCAATGGCAAATTGGTATTTAGGAAAGAGAGTATGCTGATTCAGACACACGGCAGAGTTTCTCGTACATACACAGCCGTGTGTTTATACATATACGCTGAATCACACACACATGTATGCATGTGAACACACACCTTCTTACATGTACACACGGAAGCTTCTTACAGATACACATATATACGCAAGCACAATCACACGTGCACATGTCACTCATGTATACTTTACCTTTCATATTCACATATAAACCCAATCATATACACACACACATGCACAAACTGTCACTTACACACATGCTCATATACCCAGCATGGTAAGACATGTACACACCAAAATCATTAGACTAGGAAGCAAGGGAAATTGGATTGTAACTTTATCATTAACTACCTGCAAATTTACACAAGTCACTTTTCCCTCTCTGTGCCTCATCTGTAAAATGAGAACACCAAGATCTTCTTTAAGGTATAGTGGAAGCAGTTCAGGATTCAGTATAAAAAGTTCTAGACTAGGGGCACCCAGATGGCTCAGTCGGTTAAGCATCCGACTTCAGCTCAGGTCATGATCTCACAGTTCATGAGTTCAAGCCCGCATCAGGCTCTGTGCTGACAGCTTGGAGCCTGGAGCCTGGAGCCTGCTTTAGATTCTGTGTTTCCCTCTTTCTCTGCCCTCCCCTGCTCATGCTCTGTCTCTCTGTCTCTCAAAAATAAAAATAAGCATTAAAAAAAAAAAAGTTCTAGAGTTACAGCTCTGCTTTTTCCTAGCTGGGTGATCTTGGGCAAGTCACCTAATTTCTCTGAGCCTCAGGTTCCTCCTCTGGAAAATAGGGCTAATTATAATACCCACCCCACCTATCTCTCCAATGAGATATCATATAAAATAATAGATGGGAGAAGGACAGCTAGAGGCATCTCTGATACGCATTGTCTTTGACACAAACACCCAGAATCTTTCAAATCACCACAGCCACAGTTACAGATGAACAACCCTTGTTTATTTTGGTAGGCTGTTTCAGAAGCTCCCTTATTTTGAAAAAGCCTCTCGTGGTTTGGGTCTTGGCCTCTGTCAGAGTCGGGGAGAGGTCAAAGAAAGCTATCTCCAGAGGGGAGAGAGCTGTGGCCCTTCCCTGAGGCCTCGAGGTGACTGGCTCCCTTGGTGAGGTTGCAGGGAATGACTTCTGGGTGTTCTCTCTAGATGACCGAGGTCCTGTGGTCAGAAAGCAGAGGTACGTGTTTGACATTAGTGCCCTGGAGAAGGATGGGCTGCTAGGGGCCGAGCTGCGGATCTTGCGGAAGAAGCCCTCAGACGCGGCCAAGCCAGTGGCCCCCGGCATCAGGCGGGCTGCCCAGCTGAAGCTGTCCAGCTGCCCCAGCGGCCGGCAGCCGGCAGCCTTGCTGGATGTGCGCTCCGTGCCAGGCCTGGACGGATCTGGCTGGGAGGTGTTCGACATCTGGAAGCTCTTCCGAAACTTTAAGAACTCAGCCCAGCTGTGCCTGGAGCTGGAGGCCTGGGAACGGGGCCGGGCCATGGACCTCCGTGGCCTGGGCTTTGACCGGGCTGCCAGGCAGGTCCACGAGAAGGCCCTGTTCCTGGTATTTGGCCGCACCAAGAAACGGGACCTGTTCTTTAACGAGATTAAGGCCCGATCCGGCCAGGATGATAAGACTGTGTATGAGTACCTGTTCAGCCAGCGGCGAAAAAGGCGGGCCCCACTGGCCACCGGCCAGGGCAAACGGCCCAGCAAGAACCCCAAGGCCCGCTGCAGTCGGAAGGCACTGCATGTCAACTTCAAGGACATGGGCTGGGATGACTGGATCATCGCGCCCCTTGAGTATGAGGCCTTCCACTGTGAAGGGCTATGTGAGTTCCCCTTGCGCTCCCATCTGGAGCCCACGAACCATGCCGTCATCCAGACCCTGATGAACTCCATGGACCCTGAGTCCACGCCACCGACCTGCTGTGTGCCCACACGACTGAGTCCCATCAGCATCCTCTTCATTGACTCTGCCAACAACGTGGTCTATAAGCAGTATGAGGACATGGTTGTGGAGTCTTGTGGCTGCAGGTAGCAGCACTAGCCTTCTGTCTTCCTGGCTGGCACATCCAGGATGCTGGTCACAAGAGTCCCTCCCTGCACTTCCAGAATCAGAGAAGTCGGGAAAATACAGCCAGGACGTCTACACAGCCTGCACGAAAGGGGATTCCAACAGCCTTGCTCTTACTCTCTGAGTGGGACTGGGTTAGAGATTCCTTTCTAGCCACAAGTCCCCTTGTCTGAGGATTTCTGCCCTTCTGCTGCTCTGACTGCCGGGACAGACCCAGGGAGACAGACTGAATGGGACTGAGACCCAGGAGATGTTGTTTTCCCCTGAGACCCAGCCCACAACTTCTCCTTACTTGGGCCTTGTTGGCTTCTGGACTCTCCAGGGAGGGCTCCTCTTGGGAAAGCCACACCTGCCATCCCCACCTTGACTCACCATTGTGCCTGGTGACTTTCTGCCCCTGGGGCAGATGAGATGCTGATTGGGCAGGGGTGGGCAAGACGGGAGAGGGCTCGGGCAGGGGTGAGGAGTGTGAGGCTGTTAGACTGTTAGATTAAAATGTACATTGATGAGATAAAAAGCAAAACTGTTACTAAAACGGTGGCAAATTTCTTGTTTACTCCAGGGGACCCAGTGACCTCCTCAAAGCATGACTGACCCACGGAGGGGAGGTGGGTTGCCTGAAGCAAATCAGGACAGACAGTACAAGCTGAGTAGGGCCAATGCTACCTCTAACCCCACTCCCGTTCCTTCCAAAGGCCTTTTGGTCTGGATCTCCATCTGCTTCTCCGGGGTCTGGCAACAGACTTAGGTTTTCTTTTTGACATTCCTCAATCAAGCTTATTGTCTCCTAAATGGAACCCTACATGGGAGGGAAATTGGGGGTTTCATTTCCTCTAAAATCATCCCCACCTCATTCACTCCCTGCCCCCCTCCCCATATACTCACAGAATCCACTGGCCACCATTTAGAGGGCCCTCTACCTTTCCGTGGGGAACCTGGGCTGCCAGAGATCTCCTCCCCTGTTGAGGCATCTTCTTTTTGCCACTGACCACTGTTTCTTGAATGATCTTCTGTAGCTCCAGTACCCTTCAGCTTAGCACCTTTATCACTCCTCCCCACTCATCCATCAATTACTACCCATCACCCCAGCTCCAGAAACAGAGCTGGAGTCCTTCCCCTTTACATTTTATATTATACAAGTACATAATTATACATTTGATAAGCAACCTTCCCACTAACCTTAGGCAGACAAATGCCAGACACATCCTGACGTTTCCTGCTTGGGGCTTGGCCCAGAGTAAATGCCCACTTCTCTGTATCCACTAGAATTCTTAGTTGGGGGCATGAGGCATGAATGCTTGGGAGGGGAACACAGCCCTCTGGTAGGGGAATTTGGGCACCTAAGTCCTCTTTCTAAGGGCTTAGGACCAGGCTCTGCCTGGCCAAAGAGAGGGAAGACTAAGAGAAGGGAGTTTAGGCCTCCCCTTCCCACCCAGGGGGCCCCAACATTTTCCCCATCTCTCTCCAGCTGGGTCTTTGATTCCCAGGGCTCCTAGCCAAAGCTGTTTCAACAGTAAGGATTCCTGCCCAGCTATGGGCAGATCTTGTGTCCCTTCCCTCTAGGCCCAAAACCTGTGTTGTCAGGACCTGAAACAAGAGCCCGGTGCAGGGGGCAGCCTACCTTTGAGCTGCCTCCCTGGCTTGGAGGCCATTACCTGTCCCTGAGGGGCCAGTCTGAACCTGGAACCTAGCCCTCCCTGGCCAGGCTTCGTTGTGTTTGGCTGGTGGCAGGCCTTCAAGCTCTGGCAGTAAACAAAGGAGCTGCCACAGCAGACAGAGTTCTGGTGTGAAAGAGGAGAGTGAGCCTGGAGGCAGTGCCGGGGAGGCCAACCCATAGGTTGTGGACACAGGGAGAGCAGTGTAGAAGCAGGGTGGCTGGAAACCCAAGGGCAGAGAGGCAGAGGACGGAGGGGTCACAGGTGGGGCTGGCTCCTACACGCACTGATTTTCTGGGCTGTGTGTCCCTACTTTCTTGGAAAGTCTGACAGACTGGAGTGGCACCCTGCCTGAGCCCTGTCAGAGAGCTTCCTGTCATCTCAGCCTCTGTGTTCTTCCTGCTGAAGGCCCGGGCACTGAATCGACTGTTGTGGTCTGGCTTGGTACCTAGGAGCTTCCTTTCCCACCTCAACCTGCTCTAGAACTTGCTTTCACAAAAGAGCCACTCAGACTGTGTACCCTCCCCCTTTCCTCCCCAGACTATGGGGATCCAATCAGATCAGTGTGGGGTACAAGCCCTTCCATGCTAGCCATCCCATCAGCTGCCTCCTTGGACAATTATCTTCACCAGGCATCCACCTCCAGTGCCAGTCAGAACAAGTTGCATACTTGTATAGGACACTTCTGTGCAGAAGGGCACAAGGTTTGTATCATTCTTCAGGGTTCACAAACAGGCTCTCAGCTGAGGTTCACAAACATGCTCACGGCTCTGAAGGGCTCAAAAGGCAGCCCAGTTTCAAATTTCAGATCTGTCACTTAGAGTTAGAGGCCTTGGGCAAGTAACTTAATTCCATGAACCTTGGTTTCCTCATTTGTTGGGGGGGGGAGGGTGGGAGAGGGGGAAGGGGTAGACAATATGCCTATTTCATAAGGCTAACTGGGGAGGATATGAAGGACACTCAACACAATGGCCCCACAGAGGTAGCACTCGATAAATATTAACTGCTATCATTATTGTGCTTCCAACAGTCCTGTGAAGCAAGCAGGGCAAGGACTATTACTCTCCATTTTTATAGATGAGGAAGTTGAAACCCAGAGAGGTGACTGCAGGCCTCCTGCATGTCTCAGTATTCTTTGTACCATTCTTGCTACTTCTCTGACCTCCCAATTCCACTGACTCTAGTCCTGGCAAGTAGTCAAATTACCTGCCTAGAGCTTACCTTCCTGTTCCTAAAAGCTTCTCCTTGGAGGCACATGGCATGTTAGTTTCTGGGGAGAAATAGCTAAGCATATAGGTTAGGGCAGGAAAGATGAGAGGCCCATAGGGGTGGAAAGAGGTGATGCTCCTAGTGCTCTGATGCTGCCTCTTAGTCCTTTCCACCTCTCTATGTCCCAGGCCCATAAGCAGGAGAATCTGCTTTTCTAGGGCTTGGAACACACAACTTTGGGAAGGCTCTCAGACTTCATTTTGATTCCACAACTAGTTCTTTGGATCTGTATACACACATAAGGAAACAGAGTAAGAAAGGCTTAGTCACACACGCTTGGGAGTCGAGTGGATCTGGGTTTCAGTTCCAGTTCTAACACTTGCCGGCTGACCCTCTCTAAGCCTTGATCTCTCTGTCTGTAAAAGAGGGATAATAATATCAAATTTAATGGGCTTGGGATTTGGGAGAGGGGTTATTTATTCATTCCATCAACCTTTGATCCATTCATTCATTCCTTAATGAGTAAATATTTATTGAGGGTCTACTATGACCCAGATGCTGTGCTGAGCGTTGGGATAATAATAACAACCACAACTGTAAATGTTTATCAAGGGCTTATTATGTGCCAGCTACTGTGCTTAGCACTTTATCTGGATTCTCTTATCTTTCCATGACCATGTCCTCAAGTTCCATGCAAGAATGAAAGAGAAAATAAAGATCCTGAAGGATGCTAGGATGATAACATAATAGGCTGAATCAAAGGAGATGAAATAAAATGAGAATTAAAATTATTAAATATTTGTGTATTTATTAATATATATAATGTAAACATATAAAATTACCCATCAGAATGCATGAAACCCAGCATACAAGTACAGGATGTAAAAAAAAAAAAAATGTGATTTCACAACTTCAGATGGGAAAGAGATAGTGTTACAGGTAGCTCTGAACTGAGTTGAATCAACTGAATATAGTGTGGATGCTTCAATGAAAATATAAGTGTGGGCTTCATTAATAAACATGTAATATACAAACCCAAGGAAGCTTTGGTTCTGCTCTGTGAGGCAGGACTTGGGAAGTGTTGGGATGGAGAGAGTAAGGGAGAAGCTAAGTCAAGGATGAATCCTATGGTTTTTTTTGCTTGGTCAACTGGGTAGAAGGTGTGCCATATAACAACAAAAAAGAACACAGAAGGAGGAACAGATTTTGAGAGGAAGATGATGAGGTCAGTTTTGGACATGTCAGGTTTTAAGAACTCTTAAGACATTAACTTTAAATAGGAAAAGCAGAATTCTTTCATGAAATGATACAAGGAAGAAAGGATACATGCACAGGATAAAAGCAGGTTTGTTGGTTGTGTGGTGGGAAGTCAAGTTTCATTCTGATGGCTTCTAATTTCTTTTTTTTTTAATTTTTAAATGTTTATTTATTTTTGAGAGAGAGAGAGAGAGAGAGAGAGAGAGCATGCGCGCACAAGCGGGGGAGGGGCAGAGAGAGAGACAGAATCCGAAGCAGGCTCTAGGCTCTGGGCTGTCAGCACAGAGTCCGATGTGGGGCTCAAACTCACAGACTACGAGATCATGACCTGAGCCAAAGTCGGACGCTCAACTGACTGAGCCACCCAGGTGCCCCTGATGGCTTCTAATTTCTATTTTCTCTGTGAAATAGGAGATCAGGCCATCTGTTCAGAGAGGTCAGAGTCAAGGTTTGAAGAATGTAGAATGTAGAAAAGGTTCCTATTATGGGTTTAATTGTATCGTTCAAAAAGGTATGTTAAAGCCCTAACCCTCATACTTGTGACTATGACCTTATTTGGCAAAAGGGTCTTTGCAGAAGGTGAGGTCGTTAGGCTGGGCCCAATATGACTGGAGTTCTTAGAAGAGAAGAGACACAGAGACTGACAGATAGGGAGAAGATCATGTGATGACAGATGAAGAGATTGGAGTTATGCAACTGTAAACTAAGAAACATCAAGGATTGCAGGCAATTGCCAGAAGCTAGGAAAAACCAAGGAGAGATCCTCCCCTAGAGCCTTCAGATAGAGCATGGTCCTGCCAACACCTTGATTTTGGACTTCTAGCCTCCAGAACTGTGAAACAA